ACTTTTCTCTCTCAAAAATTAAGAAGGCATGGGCACGGGGTGAGCCTGCTTTTCTTTTCTTCCCTAAACCCTCCTCAACCACAACTTCTTCTCTTCCCTAAACATCTACTGAGCCCTTGGGTCAAAACTGAGTGTGCTGGGGAGGTGTTTGGTACACAGTTAGGGTCACTCATTTAAAGGTGAGAGACTCGCCTCAGTGGCCAGTTGTCGGGGATCAGGAGGGCACTGAGGGCTGTAGTTCTCATCAGACTGGGGCTTGGGCAGGAAGAAAGCCTTCGCCCAGTGGATTCTTATTTCCATGAGAGGCTGGGTGAGGAGGAGATAGGATGCTGGAGGGGGAGAGGCAGCAAGAAGAAGGACCCTATGGTGGGACAAGGTGCTTAGGCCCCAACCCAATGCAGCCCAGACCCTGGACTCAGATCTGGGGTGAAGCCAGTCCCAGATCCTCCCCACTTAGAGTCATCTTGGAGTGTTACCTAATCATCTGTGGCACCCCGGGCACTTCTCAGTTCCCACATGCCCTTCTGCCAACAAGGGTGGGTGGAGATGTAGGTGTCGGGGGAGGTTTTAGGATCACTGCATCACTGCTATAAACTCAGACCCTTACAGGTGAAAATCGTCCTTGTTTGCTTGTTACTTAACAGGATAATTTGAGAAAAGGTGATAAGGGATAATGCAAAGTGTGTTTCTCATCTTGCCCACAGCTCTCTCACCTCCACAGTATAATGCATTCTTCTTACAAAGCACATCATTTCTGTTAGAAAATGGTTGTTGTTGTATCCAAACCGTGCCTCTACTCTCTGTTATCTTTGAATCTCACAGGTGGTTCTGTGCTCTAAGATGGTTACAGATTTGATTCTCCTGGTATACAGGGACAAGACCTCTTGCGGGGTCCTCCTAAATTTTATGGGCTATTTTTAGACCTCTGCCACCAACCCACTATTCTACACCACTCACTTGGAACCAGGGGCAAAATTCTAGTCCCCAAATAGGATAATTTTTACTTTTTTTTTTTCTGGAAAAGCCTTCTGTGATTCCTTATGGAAACTGACCTTTTGCCCATAAAAATACGATTGAGAATTTCCCTGGCGGTGCAGTGGTTAAGAATCCTCCTGCCATTGCAGGGGACACAGGTTCAAGCCCTGGTCCAGAAAGATCCCACATGCCATGGAGCAACTAAACCCGTGCGCCACAACTACTGAGCCTGTGCTCTAGAGCCTGAGAGCCACAACTACTGAGCCCGCCCGCCTAGAGCCCGTGCTCCACAACAAAGAGAAGCCACCACAATCAGATATCCGCGCACTGCAACGAAGAGTATCTCCCGCTCGCTGCAACTAGAGAAAGCCCACGTTCAGCTATGAAGACCCAACACAGCCCAAAATAAAATAAATAAATTTTTTTAAAAAAATAGTTTTTAAAAACTATTAAAATATATATATATATGGTTGAATTGTGTCTTTTGTCCTTTGAGAATTCCCCACTGTCCAGATAAAGCCAACTTTCTACTATAGCGGCTTCCATTCAACCAGTGTATTAACTGAACAATATCAAAAATTGTTAGGTACCCTCAATATTTTTGGTAGGGGACAGAAATAGTTTATAATTATTAAGTCCCAATTTCTCCAACCTCCAAAAGTTTTCAACAGATCTCTACCATAATGAGCCCCCTGCATTGTCCTGTCCCAGATTTCCCTTTATTTGGTGCCAGTTGTCCTGCAGGAGTGGACACATGTCCTGCCAGGTTGCCTGGGATGGAATCCTGGCTGGCGATTATGAGCTAGTGACTTAACCTCTTTGCCTCGGTGCCCACACCTGTAAAATGAAGATAATAATGGTATCTACGTCATCAGTTGTTGGAATACTAAGTATGTCGATGCATATAAATATTTAATTGGGTGCTGACACATAGCAAGAGCTATAGGTGTTAGCTGGTAACTTGTCCCATGCATGGGGCAATACTTGGGAATGATGTGCAGGTGAATTCTCTGGACTACTTCTCACCGCTCTGCATTGGATAAATCCACATGAAATCTAGGCCTTTTCTTGTGGTATGAAGGATGATTTGCACATTTGGAAAAGGACAGTGGTCTCAGGTTGTCAGGGTGCACTTCTACCTCGAACCCCAGAGATGCATATAAAATATAAAAACCCAGCTTGCTCATTTTTGTACCCCAAAGCACCATTCTCCAAGGCACAGGGAATTTACCATCCTGTTGGGTAGAGAGGTCAAAGGTTGACCTTTTCTATTCTATGATTGACCTTGAGAACTGGAGTGTAAGTTGATAGAAGTGGAGGCATGTCTCCTGCATGCTGGAAGGTCCTTCCGTTCTCTTCCAGGAGTGTCTTATTCACTCAAAAATATTTATTGAGCACCTACTGTATGCCAAGCACTACTGTAGGCCTGTAGGTCCTGGATATATAGTGGTAAACATGACAGATGGTCCTTGATCTCTTGGTGCTTACATCATGAAGATCCAACAAACTCCAGAATCCTATTAGAACTTTTCATTAACCACCTCTTCTTCAATACAGTATATTCTGAATGATGACCCTGCATGACCACAATGTTCTGAAGCTCCCTGAGAATCACCAAAGAAAGATGACATAGTGGCCACTATAGTTTTGATGACGTGCGTATTTTGTTGCATTCTGATACTTTTTTGAAAATAGATAATGCATGTCTGGACACATCTATATTTTTCATAAATATATGTATATATTTTGGCCATGCCATGTGGCTTGTGGGATCTTTGTTCCCCGACCATGGGTTGAACCTGGGTCCTCGGCAGTGAAAATGCCGACTCCTAACCACTGGACCGCCAGGGAATTCCCACGTAAATATTTAATTAAACTGAATGGCCCATTCTTAGACTATAAGAAAAAAGAGATACCTTCACTCTACATGAATTACTTGTATGGTTTTGTTGGTTTTCACTTGTATATGAGCTTCATCAGGGGAGGAACCTTCCTAAGCCTGTGCACATCCCACTGATGACGTTGCTTGACCAACTGCCGGCCCCAGGAAGGAGGGCCAGGTCAGGTTGGAGGGAGGGAAAGCCTTGCCTGCTGCCTAGTGATATGTCTGAGCCCCCTCTCGGGGCCCTGCTCTGGGGGCTGTTTTCTGATGTTCAAAGGAAAACTGTCAGGGGAATGAGGTCCTAACGTGCCCCTCACCTGTGGTTCTCTTAGCTTCTCTGAAATGACCAGATGGGGAGAAAACTCTCCAAATTTCCTCCCAGCACTAGTGGCCTCCGCTTCCAGGAGTTCTGGCCGAAACCTGGGAAAAGTTGGGGAGCTGGTCCTCTTTTCGACTTGAAGGAATTCACCTGCTAGGAAGACCAGAAGAGGCCAGGAGTCCCAGGGCTTCACTGTAGGTTCACACACACACACACACACACACACACACACACACACACAGGCCCTGCCCCATCTGTACCCTCAAAGGAGAAACCGTTTCTTGTGAGGGAGAAGACTCTAGGGGTGGAGCAGACACAGGAGAGGGAAAGCAAATTATACCATAGAGGGAAAACAGGACAGAGACAGGAAAAACTCACATATGGGAAAGGACACTAGTGGTAGGGAAAGAAATTTTATTTTCAAGCTTTTAAGAGAATAATATAAACAACAGAGAGTTTTAAAAAACCCTAAAAACTAGTTTAAAAAAGTACTTGACAGTGTCCCTTTCATACCCACGGATGACGCGGCCATTGTGCAATGACAAAAAGAAACTCTGCAGGTGACCACCCCCGTGGCCTTCCCTGGCAGGGTCCCAGAACCAGCAGGTGGGCTCAAGGGACAGCACTCCCTGCCAGGGTCCCTGGGCCCGCCTTGCTGTATGGGAGGGACCAGGGAGCAGGTAGCACTGAGGGATTAGCCAAACTGCCCTCGGGGGAGGGTCCCGAGCAGTAAGGAATACTTAGATTGGTCTCCACTCCACTCCTTGGGGCACATCCGGCCAACTTCCTCCCATTCGCTGCAGCAGCTCTCCTGGGAGACCCTGGGCAGGAGATGCCCTGCCATGGGGGGCCCTGGGTCTCAGCAGGTGCCAAACCAGGAGGGGCCGTGGCACTGAGCATGTCGTGGCCATGGGTGGTATTGGGTGGTTGGGAAAATCACTCCTGGATTGACAGCTTTGAAGGCTGAAGCCATGGCAGCAGGACTGTGCTCAAGATACCCATGGGAAATCTGTACTATTGTTGTGTGTGTGTGTGTGTGTGTTTCCTGTAAACATCTTTGAGCCAAATCACCATAAAATAAAGTAACAAGGGCACAGAAAGACACCCTACTCCAAACCTACGCCCTCTTTGAGCCCATCTGAAATAGGGAGTTCCCAGTTTGGAAGGTTTGGAAGGGGAAGGAACCCCCCTCCCTCTGGCCGCTCAGGTCAGCACCTCCCTCCCTGCAGCACTGCCCCCCAGGCCTGAGTCAGGAATCCTGCCCACCCAGGTGAGCCCAGGGGCCACAAATGCTAGGAATCTCATCTCTGCCAGCTCCCATCCCTCTCCCTCCCCCCAACTGTCCCTGGAACACAGCCCAGGGAGAAACCAAAGCAAACTGAAAGGTAAAACAAGGCCGGCTACAAGTGCTTCTCCTTCCCACACGTGCACACGTGGGCACCACCGCCACCAGACACGCAGCTTCGCCCTCCCCAGCCGCCGCTTCTCCCAGGTGTTTTGCGCAGGGGGGCACATCTGGGTGCCTCTGTTGTTGTGTTTTGTTAGGCCCAGTATGTATTGCACTTCGTTGCTGAGTTTGTATTGGTTTTCCTCGTGCTTGTTGGAGAATGGTATTGACCGGTTGGAAATCAGGAAACCGCTCATAGCGCCAGCCTCCCTCCAGCTCCAGTCCTGCCCCCAGGCCCCTCAAGGCACCCCCCCCATACCGCCTGCCCTCTGGCCCCTGGGGTGCCTCCATGCCTCCCCACACCTGCTCCCCAGATGGCGTCCTGTCAGGGGCGGCCCTCCCCGGCCCCTGCTCTCCTCGCTCTTGTGCGTGCGTGTGTGGTCACAGCTCCCTCCCAGGTCTCTCCTCTCACACCGTCGTGACCCTCATGACCAGCTCTCGGCTGCCGCCCTGGGGGGTCCGCTGTTCATGAGGTCTTAAGTGACTCAAGATGTGCAGGATGGTGTAAGCACAGTGGTGATCGGACAGAGGGCCTGAGGGGTGGCCGGCCGCCCGGGCAGGGCCTTCCTCAGGGGCAGGGGTGCCCGCAGCCTCCTCTCCGGAGGGGGGCGCGTTGGCCTGGGTGGACGAGGACATCCGGGCGTTGGTCCTGCCTCCTGCCTTTTGATCCTCCAGGTCTTTCGTCTTGTCATAGTTCAGCACTTTCCATTGCTGGTTGACAGCCTGCCACCGTTTAAAGATGCGGTACACGGAGGGCCCCTCGTGGATGATGAGGCCTGGGCAGCAGGGAGAAGAGAAAAACAAAGGCGAGTAAGAGATAGCAGCTCACCGCCGGGAGAAACGAGCCTCCCTCTGTTTGTAAGTGAGTATAGGCGTTGGGTGAGCCAGATTTATATTGGTTTGATTTGTTCTTTTCAAACCTACCTTTCAGCTCTGGGCCACGTGGCAACATTCTTACATTTCTAGGCTCAGCAAGTCTTTGGAAGTATGTGGAAGGCCGCCACACCGAGGGCGTGAAATAGTCGGGCACCTACATGCAGTGCTTTTTCCTCTGCCTCTGCTCTATCCCTCCTACTCCTTGGCCTGACAAGATCCAAATTCATTGTCCATTAAGGCGTAATAAAAATGACTTTTTCTCCCTCTGCCCTGTGTCTGTGGCACCTGGCACTTAGCAGATGTTGACTGAATCCTGTGCCTTTACCATAAAAGAAACCCTATGGTCATTCCATACCTGCTGAATGTCCGAAATTCCACTGATGACCTCTTGGCTATTCAACAGAAAGCCCAGTGCTGCTAATATACACACATTGCTGGCAGAGCGAACTCTGGCATGGCTCTGTGGGCCAGGGGCAGTGCAGAGTCAGAAACGAGCTGTGTCAGACAACCAGGAAACTAAATATTGTGTGCCTACTCTGTGCTAAGCACTAGGGATAGCGCAGTGAACAGGACAGGCAGAGGCCTGCCCTCAGAGAGCTGGCATTCTAGTGGAGAGACACACGACAGACACGGAAACAAACCAATAAGACTATTTCAGGCACGGACACATGCTATGAGGAAGACAAAACAGGGGGAAGTAGCCACTGCCTGCAGACACTGAGAGTCCTGTTCGATGGAGACGGTAGTAAGGGCTTGTGAGGGAGGTGATATCTGAGTTGAGACTTAATTTCTTTTTTTTTTCGTTTTCTTTCTTTTTCTTTTTTTTTTTCCGGCCGGGCCACACAGCTCGTGGGATCTTAGTTCCCCGACCAGGGATTGAACCTGGGCCACAGCCATGAAAGCGCTGAGTCCTAACCACTGGACCACCAGGGAATTCCCTTGAGTTGAGACTTAAATGTTGAGAAGGAGGGATCCATGCAAAGTCTGGAGAGAGAGCACGTTAGTGGTAAGAGCTGTAGGCACAAAGGCCAGGAAGTGGGAATGGAAGGCACCCGGCTCAGAAAGGAGGTCAGTGTGGCCAGGACGCAGGGAATGAGTGAATGAGTGGGCAGTGCAGGGAGATGGGGGTCAGAGGCCAGTCTATGGTAAGGCCTTATAGGCCATGGCAAGGGATTTATGTTCTATCTTGAGTATAAGGGGAAGCCATTGAAGGGCTGTAATAGGAGGACGATGTGGTCCGTTATACCCTTCAGAAAGGCCATCCTGGTTCCTGTGAAACAATAGACTGAAGAGGGACCAAGAGTAGATGCCAAAGACCGAGGAAGTGACGCAGTGATGCAACTCGGCAATGATGGACGCTTAGGCTAAGGTGTAGCGGCGGAGGAAGTGAGAGGCCACTGGAGTCAGGATGTATGTTGGGGGCAGAGCTGACAGACTTGCTGGCAGGTGAGGTGAGTCAAGAGAAAACTCTGAAGCTTCTGGCCTCAGCAGCTAGATGAGTATTGGTGTCATTGACTGAGGTGTGGTAGGCATGAGGGTCAGGGGTGTGGATCTGTGTGGTGGTGGCAGCCACTGTATTAGTTTCCAGTTGTTGCTGTAACAGATCACCACATATTCAGTGGCCTGAAACCACACAGACGTATTCTCCTGCAGTTCTGAAGATCAGAAGTCTGAAAATCAGTGTCACTGGGCTAAAGTGAAAGTGTCAGCAGGGCTGTGTTTTCTCTGGTGGCTTTGAGGGGAGAATCTATTTCCTTGCCTTTTTTCAGCTTTTAGAAGTTGCCTGAGTTCCGTGCCACTTCCTGGCATCACCGCCCTTTTCTTCTGATGTCACGTCTCCTACTCCTCTCCTGTCATTGAGTCTCCCTCTGCCTTTTTCTTATGAGAACACTTTGATTACATTGGGTCCACCTGAATAATCCATGAAACTCTACCTGTTACAAGATTCTTAGATTAGTCACATCTGCAAAGTCCCCTTTGCCATATAAGGTAACATTAACAGGGACTAGGACCTGGGTGTCTTGGGGGACCATTATTCAGCCTACTACATTCATTAATAGTTATATTTTGGTTATGGTAAATTTAAGACACCTGGTAGGAATCTCAATAGAAGGGCTAGGTAGGCAGTTGGACGTATGAGTCTGAAGCTTAGGGAGAGGTCTTGCCTGAAGCTTCTGGTAATATGGAGGTTTGGTGGAGGCAGAGCCGGGAAGGGAGTTTCTGAAGGAGCAATAAATAGTGTCGAAGCAAGACCAGCAAGTGTGGAGACCCAGAAGTCTAGAGAAGGGCATGTTTCATGAAAGAGAGTGTGATAACTCCTTGAAATGCTGTTGAGAGGTCAGCTCAAGTGCAATGAGGATGAAATTAGCTTGGTGGGCACAGAGGAGGTAGGAGGAAAGATGCAATAGTGGGAAAATCAGGTAGTTCTTGTCCAAGTGAACCTTTTTCTTCCATGAAGTCGTCAGCTAAGGTGGGAAGGGATAAGGCGGGAAAGTGTTGAAGATATGTGGGGAGAAGAGAAGGTGGAAAATAATTATCTTGCAGAGTGAGAGAATGAATTTACAAGGGAGAGGAGGTAGAATTATCTGACAGTGTTGAGCACCTATTTGAGATTTGTGGCCACAATTTAAAGTGGGTCTAGTCATTGGTTGGGTGGTTTTAATTAGCATAGACTGTCTTTCCAGGTAAGTATGGCAGGAGAGAGAGTGGGACATGAGAATTATGGATGTTTGCAAAGGGAGCTGTTATCACGTTGGCCCATGGAGTCTAGACCGGGAAGGAGGGAAGTAAGAACACAAAGGGATAAGGAATAATGAAAATGGAGAAGTGGAAAGTGATAGGGTCAATGCCAAGAGGTTTCTATGAATTTGGAGAATTGCTAGAGTCAGTGAACTACAAGGATAGGGGGTGATGATCAGAGAGTGGGGTGTTTAAATCCAGATTTTGAAGGGATGGGGTTCTTGGCGATGATGAGCACTAGGGAGTGACCACTTGAACGGGGCTGAGGTGGGCTGGAGGGAAAGTTCTGGAATAATGAGGAAGGCAGGGAGTGGGCTAGATTATCTGCAGCAGCCATCCTCATCCTCGGATAGAACATCCTCAGTTCTATCAGACCAAATGCCCCCTTTTTATAACAAATTATAACAAATATATTTTAATATCCCCTTTTCTGTTCTGAAATGAAACTTACAAAATAATCCAAGCTACTATGGTTTCTTTTTTTAATTAATATAATGCCCTAACAGATTATGTAAAGAAGAACAAAGGGGACGTCATTTTATAACATGATAATATAAATTTCAATATAAATGCTGGGGCACAGCCACTTTAGAAAAGAAATCAAAAACCTCATACATTTGCAAAATGCCCCCTAGGGGATGGGAACACCTCTTCCAAGGACCACTGATCTACAGAGATGCTGAGACAGGTATGGTGGGAGGGAGTGTGTGAGCCAGGTGCACAGGGGATGTGAGGAGTGAGTAGGCAGTCATCAGCCAGCAACATCAAGAAGGTCAAAGGGCTGGTGAAGTATGATGACATTCACTTCAAAGGAGCTGGGGCTTCTGAAAGATAAAGGAAGAGAGGCAGTTTGCAGATGGTAATGGGGAGCAAGGAGGACTCAGCCCACCTCCAGGCCCCCAGGATACAGTGTCCTGGAGACAGGGCAGCCACCACTTAAGACAGCCATGCAAGAAACAATGTCCTCAGGAGACAGCTTTATTTCAATTAAAGGATGAGGAAAGGGACGCTTGGAGGAGAGGTTGCCAGTGGTGGATGATTAGGTCAGGTCCAGAGGGCATGTGGAAGGGCTGGGAAGAAAGGGCCAGTAAAAGGATGAGAAACATAGGAAAGGGGTGATTGTCTATATGGTGAAGATGGTTTGGGAGGCTGGACTCACGGTGAGGGAGATGACTGGGGATGAGGTACAGTGGGATTCTCTTGCATCACTGTAAATCCAGGGGCGGCTGGTCTGTCCCCTGCGAGGAAGAGCTGATTCATAGGAGCGAACAGCAATGAGTCACTCCAGCCAACTCCACGTCAAGCAAAGAGACTGGATGGGAACATCTCAAAGCCTCTGCAACCTCCAACACGCCGTGATTCTAGGAGACAAGACAGCCACCCACTGCTACTCTTTCCTCCGGGACTCCGACAGCTCCTAAAATTGTACTTTGTACAACAGGTCTTCGAGGGTTCACTGAAGGAGAGACAGCCTCCCTGTAGCCCAGTTGTTCCTAATCTTTTGGATCATGTGCCCCTTTGAGGATCTGATGAAAGCTAAGGACCACATTCCGGGAAAAAAACCCAGACACATGAACTGTCGTTATGATTTTACTGGGTTCATAAATCTCCTTTGGACCACCTGTGGACCCCTTGATCTCCTGCCTGGCTCTGGACAAGGAGACTTCCTCTCTGCCCACTTTCTCACCCTCTCCCAATGTGCCAACTCTCATCGCTTCCTTCAACCTTTTGAATACATGCCTATGCACCCTTGGCACTGCAGGGCTCAGTTGTTCATTTGTTTCACAAGCCTTGTTTGAACACTGTTATGCCCTTTCCCCTAGATTGTAAGCCCGTCGAGGACAGGGATCAGATATGGTTGAGGCTTGGGCAGTTAATACAGTATTGGGAGCTTAATGAAGCCTTGGTGATGATGGAGGACATAGGGGTCTTTGCGGGGGTTGGGGGGAATCAGGATTTTTTGAAGCCCCAAACTCACTGTTTCCAATAAGAATCACTACACTTGATTCTTAATTAACTTCTTAATCAGACAATTTTACCCTGATTGAAGAGCGTGGCTTAAATTTCTGGTCTGAATGCTACCTCCTAATTATCTGTCTAGTGTTCAGGAAATAATTAAACCATTTTAATGGATAGATGGCTGAAGGGAAGGAAGGTGCAC